ATATTCCAAGTAGTGGAATAGCTGGGTCATATGAAGTTTCTATGTTCAGCTTTTGAGGAAGCACCAAACTGCCTTCCAACAAACTTTTAATCACAAAGACCAACCCATCAGATCCTAATTGGTATAAACAGGAGGCTTCCAGCCCACAACGAAATGCTAATTAAATTTTAAAAAACAAACAGCTTCTATTTGATTGTTAATTAAAACAAAACTACCTACCTTTCAGTTATAATCCTATGTTGATCATAACAAGTTATGACTAATATTTAAAAGAATGGGAATCCCAGAGCACTTAATTATGCTCATCCAAAACCGATACCTAGACCAGGAAGCTGTCATGCAAACAGAACAAAGGAACATTATATCATTTAAAATTGAGAAGGGAGCGCATCAGAATTGTATCATTTCTATATATTTATTCAATCTTTTGCTGAGGATATTATTTGAGATGTTGGACTTTATGAAGAGGAATGTGGTATCAGGATCAGAGAAAGAGTCATAACCTGTGTCATGCAGATGACACAATGTTGCCTTCTGAAAGTGAAGAGGATGTGAAGCACTTATTGCAGAGGATAAAAATAATACAACCTTCAATATGGATCATATCTTAGTGTCAAGAAAACAAATATTCTTACCACGGAAGTGATAGGTAGCATAATGATAGGTGAAGAAAAGATTGAAACTGTTAACAAATTTATCTCACTTGGATCCACAGTTAACACCCTTGGTATAGGCAGTCAGGCAATCAGGAGACATATTATACTGGGAAAGTCTACACTTAGGGACCTCTCCAAATTATTAAGGAGTAATGATGTCAGTTTGAAGTCTAAGGTGCATCTGATTCAGACCATGGTCTTTCCAATTACTTGCTATGCATCTGAGATCTGGACAATAAATACAGATGACAGAAGAAGAATTGATGCCTTTGAGTTATGATGAGGAAGAAGAGTGCTGCACATCCCTTGGATGGCCAAGAGAACAAACAAATATATCTTGGAGACGGTGCAACCAGAGTTCACTTTAGAGGCAAATATAGCAAAGCTTCACCTCACACACTTCAGGCATGTTGCTAGGAGGGGCTACTTCTTGAAGAGGGATGTGATGCTCGGAAAGGTAGAGGGTAGACTAAGGAGAAGAAGATCCTTGACCTGGTGGATTGACACTGTGGCTGTCTCAATGGGCTCTAGTGTATCAGGAAGTGTGAGAATGGCACAGGATAGGACAGGGTTCAAATCTGTTGTTCCTATGGTCACTATGGTTTGAACTTGACTTGACAGCATCTGATAACAACAACTAGAAGTCATGTGTCCAAATTCTTTTTGCTCTAACAGTTTCTAGTTGGAAAATTACTATTTCAATGTAATTTACTTATTCCTAGTTGCATTTTAATTTTTAAGGTGAGAAAAGCATAAGCAATCTCCTCCTGCGCAATTATCTCTGAAAATTCACTAGCGGGTCTGCTATAGGTTGATTTCAACTCAACAGTACAAAATAGCAACAACAGCACAGTAGCCAAGGTACTAGGGAGCACTTGTAGCCTCGTGGTAAGATGCTGCTCTGCCATCCCAAAGGTACACAGTTCAAATCCACTAGTTGCTCTGTGGGAGAAGGATGGACAATCTCCTCCCATATTAACTGCCTCTGAAAACCCACTGGAGCGTCAACTATGGGTTGGTCTGACTTGACGGTACACAACAAGAACCCAAGGTATCTGAAAAGTCACCCAGTGTCACAGGTACTTTGGCAGATGTAAAGAATCACCATCTCAGAAACAATATTGACCAACAGAAAAAGAACTCTGTTTTTCAAAATTAAAAATATTTACACAGCCTGGAAGATTGGTAACAGGGAAATGAAGTTTGATATTCACTGCTGTTGCCAATTACTAGGCAGTTCTTATTCCAAAACAATCCCTTGATTGCAAATTATGCAAAAGCTTCATGTACACTGACACTCTCAAATCTGCTGAGAGAAGAAACAGCAGTGCTAACATCCACGTGTGTGTCTGCAGCCACTTCCTGACTGACTGTTTTACATATTCCAGTGGGGTCATTAAACAGAGGGTCTGGGTAACTAGGAAAGGCTCGTTGGCAGTGAGTCTTTTAAGAATGATGTTACTGTGCAACAATGAATGACTGGAAACCCTAAGTCTCTATAAACTTTCATTAAAAATAAATTTTAAAAAAAGAAGGGAAAAAAAAAGAATGTTATTGAAGGAACCCCTGGTGACATTGTGCATAAGGTATCCGATTTCTAACCAAAAGGTTGGCAGTTTAAATCCATCAGCTGTTCCTTTGGCGAAAAATAGGCATAAAGATTAATGGTTACCAGGGAAGGGACGTGGGAAAAGGATGGGCAGTCAAAAGGAAAGGTAAAAAGTAGCAAACAGATAGTGACCTGTATTGAGATGGATTAAAAAAATATTTAATAAGGTGGTTGTTAGCACCCTGTCATTAAAGAAAAAGAAGTCGTATGAAGGCATAGAAGGAGGAATGGATGTGAAAATTACAGAATGCAAGTGTGAAAAATATGATTACATTGTGAGTGTTTAATGTTATGGAAAAATATGCATGAGTAATTGAATGAAAAATTAATTTGCTTCACTCAAAGAACAATAAATACATAAGAAAATATTTATGGCTTCAGAAACGTGAGGGAGGCTCACCGTGGGTCCAAATTGACTCAATGGCAAGGATATCTTTTTGTTTCACTTTGTTTTTCTGAGTAATGCTGCAAGTTTCTTTGGCGTTTTCCTCCTTTCCTTCCTATCCAGATCATCTGAGGAAAAGAAAGCTCTGGCAGGTTCCTCAGAACACAGTAGCCTGTTAAAACAGACCACCCTCAGCCTGCCAGCCAACACTTAACACGGTTTCTCCTTTCTCTCAGGTGCTCTGCAGCAACAGCCTCCTGGAATCCACAGACTACTGGCTGCAGAACCGGAGGACGCCCTGCCAGATTGGATTCGTGGAAGACAAGTCTGAAAACTGTGCCTCTGTGAGTACCCAGGCCTCTGGGGATGGTCTGCAGGAGGCAAGGGCACGTGTGGAGGCGTTGCCAGGGGACACATGCTTCCTGCCTCATTACACACAGGTGGAAAAAGCATCCTTGGAAAACACATGACTGGGTTCGCTGAGCTGTTAATGCAGAAACCGTACAGAGCAAATGTTTCTATTCCTAGCTTGCTCATTTCAGCAATTAAATGAATCGGAGCAAGTCTCTGCAATAGGAAAACAAAATTTTAATATATTTCCATAACCACTGAGGAAAAGAAATATTCAGGAATAGAATTATGTGATGGCACAGAAAGAACAGTTCTATCCCTCTCCTTGGGTACTTTTCTGTATATTCTATAGAGACAGTTCTGGCTGTTTTCCAACATGAAAATGGCCCACTTTTCTATTAACACCTAGTCAATTTTTTAAAAGCTTAACCTAAGAGATACATGTTGTTGTTGTTGTTGTTGTTATGTGCCATCAAACTGCCTGCAATTCATAGCAACCTTAAGCACAACAGAGATACATAGGCATGGGTTATATATCAGAGCTGAGTTTTACCTACAAAGCCTTCCTTTCAAGATAAAAGAGATTCTTAGTAGCTCAACAAAGTAATGCTTGTTGTGATTATAAATTATATACATCAAATATCCTCCTTCCTTTACCTTGTACAAAGCTATATATTTTTATTTGCAGCGAAACCACTTAGCTCTTAAGGGGTTATGATTACAGAGATTGGGGAAGGTTTCCAAAGAGGATAGAAATATAATTCTTAAGACTAGGTTGAAAGCATGGACTCTCAGCTATTCCTGGAGCTAAGTTGTGTCCCAGCATCTCTGTGTAAAGCCAGGGGAAAAGGAAGAGAAGAGAAGAGAAAGCCAAAAGCTGAAAATGGGAAAGCGGAGCTTTTTTGTGTAACGAACAGACCAGGACTGACAGAGGAGGTAAAGCATTTCCCATTTCCCCAGGACAGAGCCTCGTGCCAGGGATGCATGGCCCGGTCAATAGACATTAATAGACTGAATTAAGTCTCTTTGTTGAGGCTAATGATTGTGATTACCCTTTTGTAATACATTTGATCCAGTTTGGGGGGGTACTAGTTGCTGGCTGAAAAAAATCTTTGGGGGAAAACAAAAAAGATTAGGTAGAAAGCAATTTAATACTGACACTTTTCTTTGCAAATTCAATGCAGGGACGAGTTGGAAAATCCAGGCACTTGCTGATACAGATCATTAATTATAAAGCAATAAATTGTAAAAGTGAAAGGCAAGGACCATAAATTCAGTCAGTGGCTGTGCTGTGGTCAAAGCTGTCACCCGAGCAGCTGCTGAATGACAAAGACACCCACAGAGTAAGAGTGATGAGCAGATGACTCCTCTGAAGATTCCGAGCCTCAGACACCCAGTGGAGGGCGTTTCGGAATCAGAATTGTCTGCATTAGGGCTGGTTTGAGTTGTGGCATTTCATGTCTCAAAAATATCCTTATAAAAAAAATATCCTTTTGCCTCATTTTTAAAAATATTCTCAGCCTTTCCTCTTTCTTACTTTATATTGAGTGTAGAGAAGAAACTTTATATTTAGAATTGGATATTGCTGAGGGGGAAATATTAAGTAGATGAGAAATAGAAATATAGTAACAGTTGGCCAGGACTAGAAGCTCATGAAGAAAATAGCCTCTTTGAAGGAGAAGCCCAAAAGGTCAGAGAAGGTGACTTCATTTCAAAACCAAGTTGCCACACTGGTATGAAAAGAAAGTGGAACTTTTAAGGGAGGGGGGAAATGCTGGATTTAAAAAGAATATCTTAATGAAAGTTTATTTTTGTCTTTTTAATTTCACAAAATAATCCCAAACTTAAATTTGTTTGCACATGATCTCAGGACTTGAGGAATCTGTCACAAGGGCGCTCCCTCCGTCCTTACTCTGTAATCTCATTTTGAGCACTGGTGGCACAGTGGTTAAGCACTCAGCTGTTTGAACCGGTCAGTTGTTTGAACAGACACCAACAGGAGAAAGCTGACTGAATCAAATGAAGATTTGTCCCATGGAAAAACCTGCAGGACAGTTCTGTCACGTCCCTCCGGGTCACTGTGAATTGGAATCCACTACACGGCAATGGTGTTTTTGGTTGTTATTTTGGTTTTTAATCTGTTCATTCTTGAGGACACTGTATTAAATGAATTGTTGCTTCTTTACCTCATTTATCTCCAACCAAAATTCATACTCAAATTTTTCAAATCTAACATTCATAAATTTTTTATTTTTTTAATAATGAAATCCAACTAGTTAGATTCGTAATGCATAAGAGTACTTCCACTTCCAAAATGGCTTGCCTCTGGAAACTGTATGAACAGTGCTCAGGCCTTTCATTCATAGGGTTGCTATGAGTTGTCTACAACTTGATGGCACCTAACAACAATAACAATGACAACATAGAGAGAGCTCTGTTGGCCTAGTGGACAGAAAGTTATGCTACCAAGCACAAGGTGAGTGATTTTAATCTGCAGCCTCAGGCCTGGTTCAAATTGGTCAAACATTCTTCTAAGTGGTATAGCACTGGTCTGTGCATTGCTGTACAGAGGTATCTCATGGTTGCTGTGATGCTAAACACTGTGACACTGATGTGCCAAATGTGATAACGGTTACCGATGGTGGACAGTGGTTGGTGGTACTCCCGGATTAAAACAAGCCTGGAAGCAGCAGCGGCATCCACTTCCGAAATAGCTTGCCTCCGGAAACCCTATGTACGAACAGTGCTCAGGTCTTCTGTTCATAGGGTCGCTATGAGTCGTTTACGACTCGACGGCATCTAACAACAACAACAACGAGTACCTAATGTCTGAATTCAAGATGGCTATTTAAAATTTGCACTGAATAAATATCTCTGGTTTGGAAAGCCCTCGGGCTGCGTGTCCATGGGCATGGAAGGCTGTTCACGGTGGTGCAATAAAAAATGAGGTTGGTTCTTTCTTCCGTCATAGTTTTGAGGTGCCATCTGTCAAGTATAACTCATATGATCAACAGGATTTGAACTTTGCCCTACGCTAGGCCGTCCTCGTGATCTCTGGGATGCTCAAGTCCATGGTCACTCTCACTATGTCAGTCTGTCTTGTTGAGGACCTTCTTTTTTCTGACCCCTGCTTTCTCCAGCATGACATCTTTTTGAAGGATTTACCCCTCCTGACCATGTGCCCACCTATGTGAGGCCCACTTTCACCAACCCTGCCACTCAGGACACCTCCAAGGCAGATTGGTTTGTTCCTTTGGCTGTACGTAAAATATTCAATCTTCTTCTCCAATATCACAGTTTAAAGGCATCAATATTTCTTTTGTTATCCTTATTCACTGTCCAACTATCAGATGTATAGGAAGCAGTTGCAAATACCATAGTATAGGCAAAGATCAGTGTGCCTTCGTCTTTAAACTGACATCCTTACTTTTTACCCATTTGGATAGATCTTTGACAATACATTTTCTTCAATAGGGTATTCTATTCCCCCCCCCTCTGCCCAGCTAATACAGCAGTGTCAAGACCAGGATCAGGTACTGTTTGTTTTATGTTCCTCCCCCTCCCCCCGCTTTAACTAACTTGAGAGCTAAGGGAACTCTGATGGTCTAATGGGTAAGGGGCTGTGCTGTCAACCCAAAGGCAAGTGGTTTGGACCCACCAGCTGCTCTGTGGGAGAAGGATGAGCATCACATCTGATGAGATATATAGCCTCTGAAAAGCCCAATGGAGGGTCAGACTTCGGTAATGGGTGGAGTTGAACTTGTGAACTATGAGCACCCAGAAATATGCTCCCAGTTGCCATCAAGTCAGTTCTGACCTACAGTCACTACAGGTGTGCCAGACAGAATAGAAGCTCTACTTGTTAGGGTTTTGAGTGGCTGGTTTTTCAGCTATAGATCCAAAAACAGACCTTTCTTCCAGACGTCTCTGGGTAACCTCAAGTCACCAAGCTTTTAGCTAGCCCGTAACTGCATTAACTGTTTAGAAGACTGAGGGACCCACAGAAATATGATAAGCATGCAAGGGAGTCCTTACTTTTCTGGGATAGCTCAGAAACTACCTGAAATCACCTTCAATAATTGTTTGACTGATATTAAAGATGAAACCTTGCATTATTTTTTTTTCTAATTGGAATTATCCTGCCAAACAGAAAAATGTGCTTTCTTCCTGAGTTAGCATATTGGTAGGAAGAAAAAGAAATACCTCATGTATGAACCTTCAGTATGATAAAATAACCAAAAAAAAAAACCCCCAAAATTTTTCACTACTGAAATAACGGGGAAGTGGAGAAGGATCATGGGAATGATAAACCAATTTACAAACAAAATAACTGGGAAATTATCTTAATAGAGGTCCTATACATAAAAGTTAAAAATTGGATTTTTCCATACTCTTCTCTGTTGATTAAAAGCTCATTTAATGTACACCAATGTTCATAGAAGCGTTATTCACCATCACAAGAACATGAAAATAGCCCAAATGTCCAACCACAATGGAATGGATTGAGAAATCATGGTGCATTGTCCAGATGGAATACTACGCAGCACACAGGAGCAATGATTTTGTAATTCACTACCTAACTTGAAAGGGACTGGAGATCATTATGCTTTGTGAACTAATTCAGTCTCATAAGGACAAATATAAGACCATTACTGTAGAACATGTATGAGGATCCAAGGGGGAGGGGGGAACAGAAGGCTGAGGATGGGTGGAGGTTTGGAGAGAATGGGTGGGTATGCGTTAATCATAGGGTCACACAATTTGATGGGTGGAGTAAGGGATGGGTATAGGAAAGGGGAAAGATCCCATGTGAAAAACAATGTATATAAACTTTGTAAATAAACCGGTATAAAATAAAAATGTTATTTTTAAAAAATTCACTTAATCCCCTTTTAATCTTTTATTACTTTTTTACTGTTTACTGGAATTTCATTTTCACTTTTTAGGGAAGCCATCTTTCTACCTTGTGATTTATTAAAAGAATCTTAACAAT